GCCCTACCACCCTCAGCCTGCGCCCCGGGAGGGGGGGCTGCCCCCCCTCCAAAGCACAGGGAACCGCAGGGTTTATCAAAACTCAGTTTATTCCAAATGTTAAAAGATTACATTTTTTTCCCTCTTCCTCAATCAACCAAAATATATTTGCTTTAAGAAACCCAAACCTATTCTGAATCCTCCTATTGCTATAACTCAACATACAAAATCGAACCTCTGCAGACCCCTCTTCTCAGTCCAGGTACCTGGAATGCAGCATGGAAAGAGAAGACAGGGCAGGCCGGGCACAGGGAGCGAGACCAGTTGGATGGAGACTGGAGGCAATGGGAGGGAGCCCCGTTGTTTCAAGTGGTTCGATGCATAGCTCTGTTTTGGTTGTCTTCTCAGCAAGGCCCTAACAGGAAATCCAGCTCCTTCCTCAGCAGATGAAAGAGGAAAACAAGTTAAAATAACCAAATCCCCACCCGTAGGATGGATTTTGTTGGGTTTCCAAAGGGAATGGGAAAGAGCCAGAGTGGGACTGGAGAAAGCAGCGCAGGCAGGAGGGAGAGGGGGAACCTGCTCCCGGCCTCGCTGCCTGGAGGTTGGCTCAGCTGTGTCAGTGGTGATGGGCGGGAGGCAGGAGTTCCCTTTTCCAGCAGCCACAGTGTGGAAGGGGGATTGTCCAGCAGCATTCCCCCTCAGAGGCTCCCAGGCACCCGGCAGCGTGTCCCCACCAAGCATTGGTGTGAAAGGAGAGCTCCCCTGGGCACCATCTCCCCCCACAATGAGCCCAGGGGGTTCAGTGGGTGCCAGCAGACAAATCCATGCTGGAGAGGTAAAAGATGTTTCGCTATGGGGATGGAGGCTCATCCAGAGATGGGGAACATGGGGACCTTGGAAAGCCTGATGCTCGAACCCTTCTGTGTAGCGAAGAACAAGGCCCTCAGCTTTGCCAGGCCAGGAAATACTTCAAACCTCAGACAAGAAGAACTTGAAAACCCATCCAGCCACAGCACTGAGATTGATTTAGGACAAAGCCAACCCAGGGGGAGCTGACAGAGCACTGGGCACCGTGGGAAGACAGACACACACAGGGAGAAATCATGAGCATCCCTGAAGAGCCCTGCTCCAGCCACAGAGCCTGCTCCCAGCTCCAGGAGCCTCCTGCCCTCCTCACTGCCAGTGATGGGACACCAGAGCTGGAAACCAGTCACCCACCCCAGGTGGAAGGTGGGGGCTCTGTGCAGGTCCTGTCATCCCACTGGGCTCAGCTGAGGGGTCGCTTCATCACCTCTGTTCCTTGTCCTTGACCAGCAGCACAGTGTGTTGCCCACCACTGGACACGGCCAGGACTGTGCGGTTCTCCAGCTGCTTGCCCACCATCTCCACGGGGCTCCAGACGTCCTCCTCCTCCCCTGTGCCCAGCTGGTAGTTGGTGCCCATGCCCCAGGCGAACGCTCGGCCTGCAACAGAGGTGATGCAAGTTTTGACTTCTGGGGTGGGAAAGGGACCAGCAGCCAAACCCAAGGGGACTCCACACCCGGAGCTCAGTGGTGGGTGCCAGAGATACAGCAGGAAGAAGGGAAGCAGCACTTGCAACTCAGAGGTGCTGGGACCATACCCAAGGGGGCGTGGGGCTGGCTGGATCCAGGGGGGCCAGGAAGGGGGGTGAAGGTGGGGGAGCACAGCATTCCCGAGCACTCACCATCGCTGCTGACAGCATAGCCGACCGAGGCGCCGCAGGCCACGGAGGAGATGCTGGGCAGCTCGGGGATGGCTGTGGGTGTGCTCTTCTCCTCTGCCCCAGCACCCAGGCCCAGGCGGCCGTACTCCGCCCTG